GTTTTTTTTTTTTCCAATAGGTCTCAGGCGGCGCCAGTTTCAATAATCCCTTCTAATTGAGTGCTCTACTCCAAGCAAGAGTCTTTTTTCTTTTATTTCCGGTCAACTATTGCAACTAATAATGAAATAGACATTTCCAATAGGTCTCATAAAACCAGCAGACGTGACCCAAATTCTTCAAACACAAACACATGAGCCATTTCACATATTAATTTCCCAGGCCCGCTTAAGTAAATTGCACGGATTTGCTACGTGCAGTACGGGGCCTATTGGTTCAGTAAGGGGCACCTCCGTACTCTGCTATTTAGCCTCATTTTTACCCTTGTTCGTGCTCCAAAATCATCGTGCACAAGAGATAGTCCCAAAAGTACTGAAAAATACTCAAATCCTCATCAAAGCACGAGAGTTGATCATAATATCAAATAAGCCGAAAAATGCATAAATGCGAGGAATTAAACGTGCACAATTACAACATTAGACCATTAATACAAGCACGTTTTTTGACTAATCAAACCACCTCACACCTAAATGATGCTCTCCTCAAGCATCAAGCCAAATTCGTCATATCGAATTATAATCACACTCTTATCTCCTCCTTTGCCAATTCAAAATTATTTTTACGCACAAGAAAACAAGATATGGTGGAATCCTCATATACTGACATCGATGACAAATATTCTCAACAATCAATCACTATGAAATGCAAACGAGGATCAACACATCTCACAAGGTTTGGTCAAACTCTCCAAGTGTATAGGCTAAAGATATATATATGTATGAACGTCAAAACATAGAAAATCTTTACCATATGTTTGCTATTGCATCACGCCCGTCAACTCAAGAATGAACACAAATCCACAAATCCACAAACATCAAAGGGTTTATCACAAGGTTTTTATGGTTTTGCCTGGGGTATATAATGGTTGGGACTCAAGGGATCAAACAATCATACAAAATAGGGCTAAATTAATCGAACCAAAGCAATCATGCAACTATGTCCGAAAAGAGCTCAAAAGCAAAACCCGGCAGATGTCCAACTAAAATGGCACATACTTAATAAATTGAACCTTATCTTGCCAATGTCAAATTCAAAATATACCACTTCAACTCAACCAAACTCAAAATTATTTTACCCCATCTCACAACATGAGTCAGCCTCTCCTTTTTTTCTTTTTATTCATTTTTTTCACCCTGTTTTCAGTCATNTTTTTTTTTTTTTTTCTCTGGCCTGTTTTCAGGTCCAGGTTTTCATTTATATTTTTTGACTGACTGCTTTGATCATATGACATTTTATGACCGAATGTTTTGTGTTCTGTTTCAGCCTCTTCACGCAAAACAAAAAATATGAATGAAAATCTGGACTTGAAAATAGGCAGAGAAAAAAAAAAACTAAAAACATGGTTGAAAAAAAAAAAAAAAATGGAGAGGCTGACTCATGTTGTGAGATGGGGTGAAATCATTTTGAGTTTGGTTAAGTTGAAGTAGTCTATTTTGCATTGGACATTGGCAGGATATGGTTCAATTTATTAAGTATGTGTCATTTTAGTTGGACATTTGCCAGGTTTTTGCTTTTGAGCTCTTTTCGGACATAGTTGCATGATTGCTTTGGTTCGATTAATTTAGCCCTATTTTGTATGATTGTTGGATCCCTGAGTCCTGGCCATTATATGCCTCTGGTCCAACCATTAAAACCTTGTGATAAACCTTTTAATGTTTGTAGATTTGTGTTCATTCTTGAGTTGATGAGCGTGATTCAATGACAAACACATGGTAAAGATATTTTATGTTTTGGTTGAGCGTTGGTACATATATATCTTTATCCTACACACTTAGAGATTTTGAGCAAACCTTGTGAGATGGGTTGATCATCGTTTGCATTTCATAGTGATTGATTGTTGAGAATATTTGTCATTGATGTCGGCATATGAAGATTCCACCATTTCTTGTGTGTGAAAATGATTTTGAATTGACAAAGGAAGAGATAAGAGTGTGATTACAATTCGATATGACGAATTTGGATTGATGCTTGAAGACAAACATCGTTTGAGTGTGGGGTGGTTTGATCAGTCGAAAAACGTGCTTGTATTAATGGTATAATGTTTTAATTGTGCACGTTTAATTCCTCGCATTTATGCATTTTCGACTTATTTGATATTATGATCAACTCTCGTGCTTAAATAAGAATTTGAGTATTTTTCAGTACTTTTGGGGCTATCTCTTGTGCACGATGATTTTGGAGGCACGAACAAGGGTGAAAATGAGGCTGAATAGCAGAGTACAGGGGTGCCCCGTACTGAACCAACACGCCCCGTACAGCATGTAGCAGATCCGTGCAATTTACTTAAGTGGGCCTGAGAAATTAATATTTGAAATGGCCCATGTGTTTGTGTTTGAAGAATTTGGGCCACGTCTGCTGGTTTCATGAGGAGAGAATTAAGTCAAAGGTCTATTTTATTATTAGTTGCCATAGTTGACTTGGGAAATAAAAGAAAAAAGACTCTTGGAGTAGAGGACTCAATTAGAAGGGATTATTGAAACTGGCGACTGAGACCTATTGAAAAAAAAAAAGACTTGGAGAGAGCAATTCTGGGAAAAGCACGCAACAACAGAGACGCACAAGGAAAAATTTTATTTTATTTTATTTTCTTTTCTCGTGTAATTAAATTCTTGACTATGTTTTCGGAGCTATGCGTGGCTAGTACTTTTATTTCTAGTTCCGGGTAGGTCGAACCCTACGATTGATGATGTTTTGATTAATTTATATGGTTGATAATTTCAATATCTTTCTGGAATTGTTCGTGTTATTTTGACTGATTAACTTAGATTTGTTAAATCTTATTTAGATTGATCACCTAAATTAGGCTTTTCATCTCTGTAGTTGAATTAGAACTCAATCCGTAATTGTTGTTGTGTTTAATTCATAAGAGGCAACCGGAAGACGGTGACACTATCGGGGATATCACGACCTATTTAAGTGAACGAACGCGGTTGAGTTCAGTACTTAGTCTAGCCTATTTTTCTAATTCGTAAAGCGGCTAATTGTATTACATCTTGAAAACGTTTTTCTGGACTATACAAGAAGTCTGATTAAATCGTAGATCGTCTCGCGGTTAAATTAAAAATAAGGAAATTTTCGGGTAACAGACCGTGTCGTTGCCTAGGGTTAGTAATTCCATAAGATAACAAGTTTGGATACCAAAAGTTGATTAGACAAGTCGGTCGAGGGTGTATACGGAACCGTGGACTAGAAGCTTCCCTATTAATTTGATTAATCATCTTTTCTGCATTTGATTTCATTCCGTTATTCATAATTCTAGTAGTTAATTAATTTATATCAAAACCCCCCCTTTTATTTGTATTTCCATGATTTCAAAAGAAAATAATTATAATTAAATTTTACACTCCTTGTGGGTTCGACCCTTACTCACTACTACTACTAGTTGGTACATGTCGATTAAGGAACATATAAATTTTAATTTGTCGCGTTGTGACGCGCGTTCAAATTTTGCATGTTTTTAGGTTTGCCCCATCTCATCCAAATCCTGACTCAAGACAATACAAGGGGTTTGGGATTCCCTGGAGAAAGGCAAGTGAAAAAGAAAGCTTGCTGTCTGTCCGATACATTTGTTCGCGCTGTTGAACCGCTGTATAATGGTTTCGACTAATCAGGGATCAGTGGTCTAGTCCTCTGTTGTTGAAGGGGTTTCGGTTGGTGGTGGCGTCCCTCGAGGTCGACGTTTGGCCTGCGATTGGGGTCTTCTCTTCAGTCGCTTGTGGAGCTCCGATTTGTGGCGGTAAGCCCCTCAATCTTCACCTTGTCAGTGATTGTATGACTCTACTTTTTTCGGCGAGGCTTCGCCTCTTCTGGAGGGGCCTGGGCCTCTGGTCAACGGAGTTCTGTGGTGGTGTCGGGCGGAGCATTAGTCAACGGGTGGGGCGGGACTCCGTTTGTTGCGGCGTTTCCAGTTGTAGCGGTCGGGGTTGGGGACCGAGCCACCCCCACCCTCCCCTATTCGGCTAGTGGTGTTAGGCGGCCGAGGACCTGTTCTCTCGAGCTTAGGGCTGTGCAAAATTCGACTGAAACCGACCGAACCGACCGGAACAGACCGAACCGACCGGAACAGATCGAAACGACAATTTCGGTTCGGTTTTTGTACGACTCGGTCGGTAGTCGGTTTCCAATTTGTAACTTTTCGGTTTTCGGACACAAAATGTCCGAAATAACCGAACCGACCGAATAATATATATATATAATATCATATTATATATTATAAATTTATAATATAATATTTTAATATTATTCATTAAGTCAATAACTCTAACTCTAACTCTAAGTCCTAACTCAGACTCAGTACACTCCTTCCCTTTTCAGAAACGGCTCGTATCCCTTCCCTCCTCCGCCGCCGTCCCCAAATCCTCCCCTGTACACCCCTAGCCGCTGCTCCTTCGCCGCTTCTTCTCCACAATCCACCCTAAATCGTTCCAATCCAAACCATTCCCGGCATCCCTCGAATCGTCTGGTCAGCAAAAAATCATCCCCCATCTCTGCGTCTGCGTGTAGTTTGGTCTTCGGTCCGGTCAAGGAGCTCGTGGTCACCGGTCGTCGACTCGCCAAGCACACACACGACTATAAGTATTTTTTTTTTTATTTCTTAAAGTCACAAATCTCAAATTAACAAATTGTAATAAGAAAATACAAGATTGATATGCTCTTCTGATTTGTATGTTTGTGAGTTGTGACTTGTGAGAATTGAGAATTTGCATGTGCTACTTTTTCATTCTGTTAATCAAGGATTAAATAAAAGTCGTATGTGTTGTGAGAATTGAGATTTTTTTGATTCCTGTGAGTTGTCTTGTGAGAATTGAGAATTTTTTTGGGCGCCTTAAACAATCCTAAAAAAA